GGGCGGCGCTCCGGAATTCTTCCACTGGTGATAGATGGCATCGGCCTGCTCGCTTATCAGCTCCACGATCTCTGCGTGCTCATCGCTTCCGATCAACGGCGCTGCCTTCGGCGACTTTTGGCTGCCGACAGCAACAGTACCAGCACCAGCAACGGTTGCTGGTTTGCGTGTGGTTGTTGTTGTTGTCGTTTTACTGGCAGTTGTCATAGCCACAGTGCTGGCGCTGCCGCTGCCGCCGCCGCCTCCGCTGCTGCTGAGCTTCTTTGTTTTAGTTGTTGTTGTCGTTGTCGTGGAAGACGACTGCATTTTCCTTTAAAGTGTTCAACGTGTTCGTCTAAACTGTATTTATGTCTTGTTTAATTTTTGCACGCACAATTTAAATGTTAAAAAAAAAAATACAATAATATTCACATTTTCGATTTGGTCTGTGTTTATTGCTACACTTGAACAAAAACGGTGTGTGTATTAATTTTTTTTTTCAAATTTTTTCCTGACGTTTCACAGATTCAGAATTTTTTGGACATATATAACATGCATATGTATATATATTTTTTCTGTTTTTGGTTTTCACATTTCAGAATTTGGTGGCCTGTAATTGGGTTTGATTTCTACAAATTTTCCTCGTGCGTTTCATTCACTTTTCACATTTTCACATTTTCCTCGTTTTAACTTCTCTCCGTATGGCGAAATCTATTTATATAAAGAAATACCAAAATTTCCTATTTCGTTAATTTCAGACGCCGACAGAAACACACAGCCCACAACGTAGACGCAGACGCACACACACACCCATACACACGCACACACACACCCAAATATATAGATATATATAACTGCGGCATTAGCATCGGGATCGAGGCATCATCTCAATACGTAAAACGCGCACACCACTGTGCACAGTGGTTAACAAATAAGCACATTTGTCTAAATGAGAAAATTTTGGTGGCATTTTTCGATTTCTTACAGCATGCTAAATATTTATGCAAAAATATCTTTAAAGCAAATATTTGTTTTATATGTCAACAATACTCAAATTTTAAAATGTAAATGACTATTTGAATAGTTGTATTTTTGTTTGGTTTGTTTTTTCATTTTTATTATATCTTAGTAATTTGCTGCGTTTGATTTTAGTTTGTGTGTATCATTTCTTTTTTTTCTGCTATTTATTTGCTCAACTATTTTAAGCCGTTTCAGTGGTGAATGGTGCGTAAATCACTTATTTATCGAAACGAAGTAATAAACGGTAATAAATTCGTTTTAGCACCTTTTTTTGAAATATTTGCCACCCGGCAATTAATTAATTAAATCAATGCGCATCTTCGGTTTTTTTGACAATGCAAATGAAGTGCAGCTCACTGTGCACGCGTAAGAGAAGGAACAAAAAATATATATTGAGAGCTGCCCCTTTGCCCGTAGCGGCATTTTCGCCTTGTTTTTACTTTTTTTTTCGGCTGCTGCTGCTGCTGCTTCTTCAACTTTGTACTATTTATTCGAAAATTTTTTTCGAAGTAGTTGCTGCTGCCTCAGCCGCTGCCGCCGCCATTGACGCTGCTGCTTTTTTTGTGCCGCTTGCCACACACTTTTCTATTGCACTTAACGTGTGCGTGTATGTGAGTGTGTGTGTGTGTGTGTGTGTGTGTATGCATGGGAGTCGGCGCTATCGAGTATATTTGGATGTTTGTCTGGCTTTATTAATGATTTAATTGCATTTATGCCCCTAGGCGTGCGCTGACGACAGTCACGATGACGCGCGCCGCGTTGGTTGAGTTTCGTCATTAATTAATAAACTAAACAAAAGGTTAGACAACGAATTTGCAATTTGACATTTCATTTCGGCTGCCAATGGATAAACAAGTTGACTGCGATCAAAGTTGAGCGACAACAATAACAACACACGCTAGCACACCACAGGCACGGAGAAGTGCGAAAACAGATGTAACTGTAAGCACATGTAACTTTATTTACATACATATATTCATGCATCTGGGTAGTTTGTCGCAGAAATTCGTGTTTTCTTTATATTTTATTGGAATCTGTGACCGGTGCGCTAAATTTAACAGTATATTGCCGTGTTCCGCACAAGAGAATTTTTACCGAGCGCACGCTGCACGCGAACCGCCAAACGCTGCTGATTAGCTTCGTGTTGTTACTGTAAATCTTTGGCCGACGCTCTGCTCGCAACTGAAAATAACATCAGTCGCTGTCGGTGTCGCTGTCTCTGTCTCTGTCGCAGTCACTGTGGGCAGTGCAGCCTCTGCTATCGTTGCCAGTGTGCAAAGTGGAAGTGATCTCAGCTGTTGCAGCAGCAGCTAATGACACTGAGAACCGACGATTAGGGCGCTCCCACACACACACATGCGGTCTCTCTCTCTCTCTCTGCCTGTCTCTTAGTCTTCTTTTGCTCTGTCCTCGCTCTCTCAATTGCAAGTGACAGCGCCAGCGCCAACATTTACTTTGGCGTTCTTTGAGCAGCAGCAGCAAGCACAACCTCACTTATGCTCTCTTTGGCTTTGCTCTCTCACTTACCCCCACACAACACGCACACTCAGACCTAAACGCAGACGTAAACGCAGACGCAGACGCAGAACACTTGCCGTACCCACACACAACACGCTGTCGAACAAAAAAAAAGAAAAAAATACCACAACAACAATAAAAGCAAACAGCAAAAATCAAAGCTAAAAAAAATGTTATTTATACGCTATTCAACAGCATGGGGTATATGCTGTGCGTCATGCAAAAAAAAGCTGTTGATTGCTTAAATGCTGTTCTGTTTTCACTTATTACATTTTTATACAAAAAAATCAAAATGAAATTGCAATGATCATTATTTTGAGAGTTAATTTATTTAATATAAAAAAATCCTCAATAACTTTTGACGCTAAAAATTACTAACTGTACTGTAACTGTACTAATATCGATTTGTAGGGTAAACACGCAGGAGTATTCGTAATCCACTTTTATTCTTTTTCGTGTGACTGTGACACGAAGAGGAATAAAACCTGAAACATTTATTTCGCTTTTGCTAAAAAAAAATAACTTATTTCTGTCCTACCTTTTTCCAACATGTTTGTTGCAGTCAATTCTTTTTTTATTTCATTTTTTAATTTTATTTTTATTTTTATTATTTTTTTTTTTGCAGTTTATTTGGTATTTTTTGCTACTTTTAACGAATTTAATTTGTTTATATGAATTTTGCAGGTGGGCGCCTTTTGTTTGTTTAGAGCAACTCGAAATGATGTTCGAATATTTGCGCTCACCTCTGTCATATAAAAATGTCTGATGAGGCATTTTGGTTATTTACACGTTTATTTTTGTTGTTGTTGAAATTTTACATATTACAGACACAAACACACGCACACAACCGCATACATAGATCACGCGGCGACAGTTGGTTTAACCGCAAGCAAGTGTTGTAGCTACTGTGATGACGCTCACAATGCTCATCATCATCAGTTGATGATGATAATTTTTATCGTGTTGATCATTGGCCGCACCAGCGAAGCGCAGCTTCCGGTTAGCGTTGTGCTTTGATCTGCTGCTCGTTTCTATCTTTATTGCATGTTTCGGTTTCTGTTGCTGTTGCTGTTGCTGTTTCAGTTTCAGTTTCTGTTTCTCATTTTTCGTTGGCGCGCTTTGCTTTTGCGGTAATTGATTTTAACCAAGAGATCTCAACCTCTAGAGATGCTGATTGTCTCATCAATTGACAGCTATTTAGTTTAGCCTCGTTCCATTGCCATGTAAGGGTGCCCCCTCCTCGACTCGCCAGCCCCCTGTCGCTCACCTTGGATTAGCTATGTGTGACCCAATTTATGTGTCTGTGTTGGGTTTTACTGTGCGCATAATACAAACAGAGCACGCTTTATGTGGCTGTAGAAGATTTGACAAAAAACCCAACACCCACACACCCTAGAGGACCACACACACACGCACGCGTTTTTTATGTATTTGTTTAGACGCTCTCTGACATGTGAGACGACACGTTAACAATAGAACGCGAGCGTCACAACTGAAGTGTGAATAGATCTATTGATGGCACATTGTATGAAAAAAGCAGCTTACGTCTAATGCTGCCGATTCGATCTCTGGATATAGTATTAATAGCATTAACGGTTGATTAAATGCAGCAGCAATAGAGAAGTAAAAATACAATTTATTGTAAACTGAGCCTTGTCTATCAAATGATATATAAATAGAAAATGATTAAGACATGAACATATAGAGCACATTTAATTAAATTAAATAATGTTAATAAATAGAGAGTGATCAATAGAATACTATAAAATAAAATAAATATTGTATCTAAATAATAATAATAGTTGTAAATTGTGAATCTTAGCATATAATAAGAAAGGATAAAGATGAATATATAATATATATAAATTATATTTAGCATACAGAATATACATATGAAATACAAGTCTATTTATCAAATTTATAGGTTAATATTGCATTTTTATTTATTTTAAATTAATCCCTTCATTAATTTGTTTATTGTATTGCAGCTAGAATCCATCTAAGCCGCGCCACACGGCGTATGCGCAACATATAAATATCGTATGCCAGCATTACGCATACGCCGCATGGGCTCAATGCACTTATGAACTCTCGAATCTTCGGGCTTCTTTGGCATTTGTTTGCTTTGGCTGGCGCATCTATCGATTTGTTGCTGCTCTTCATATTTGCACATTGCATTGACACATTAAATCGCTGACTTTCCACGCCCACTTTCTTGCTGTTTGCGGCACAATGTCAGCTCAAACGATGGCCCTCTGCCAGCCCAGCGAATCTGGAGCTGGGAAACCTTTGAAGTACATAACTATTGACATTGGATGTCGTCGCGTCATCGTTGCAATATTATATTTGTTATATTTGTTTAAGTTTACGTTATAAGCCAAAGGCTGTTAACGCCTTTATTTTTAGGCCTCCGAGTGCAAGAACTAATTGAATTTGTTTGGACATGGGCCAAGACAAGACTATAAAAGCAACGCTTGAGCCAGGCACAGACGCAGGTTTCCAACGACCAATCGCCGCGAATAGTCCGCTCCAGTGAAATAATATTCAGGGGAAATACAAAATCTATGTAAAAAGTGTTAGAAATTTAGAGAGATTCAAACTAATTTGCAGCTTTTTATGTAAAACGCAGAAGTTAGTGAAAGCTTAAGCCGGGATATAGCGGATACACAAATTCACAATGGAGAGGTAAGCGGGCATCGGATAATGTTTATAGAGTATATTGCTTATAAACATTTCTGTGTTGCGTAGCTTTGCAGCAGTAGCCACACAACTGGGGCCACACTTTGCCCCACTGTCCAATGGATCGGTAGTAGACAAGGTGAGACAGAGGGAGAGAGAGAGAGAGAGTGAGACAACGATAAGAGGAGGGAGCTTACTTGTTTTACTATCTCTCACAGGTCACACCCGATATGGCGCACTTAATTAGCCCATATTGGAATCAGTTTCCCGCCATGGACCCCATCTGGGCGAAAATTCTTACCGCTTACATGATAATAATTGGCATGATTTCCTGGTGTGGAAATGGCGTGGTGATTTACATATTTGCCACCACAAAATCGTTGCGTACGCCTGCTAATCTGTTGGTCATCAACCTGGCTATATCCGACTTCGGCATCATGATCACCAATACGCCAATGATGGGCATTAATCTGTACTTTGAGACTTGGGTGCTCGGCCCAATGATGTGCGACATCTATGCCGGCCTGGGCTCGGCCTTCGGCTGCAGCTCAATTTGGTCCATGTGCATGATATCGCTGGATCGTTATCAAGTGATTGTTAAGGGCATGGCCGGCCGTCCAATGACCATCCCATTGGCATTGGGCAAAATAGCCTACATATGGTTCATGTCCAGCATCTGGTGCCTGGCGCCCGTATTCGGCTGGAGCAGGTGAGCGGAAAACTAACAAAAAACTGAGGTGTCTCTATACTATGGTTCGATTTTGGGCAGATATGTGCCCGAGGGTAATCTGACATCGTGCGGTATTGACTACTTGGAACGCGATTGGAATCCACGCTCATATCTGATCTTCTACTCCATCTTTGTCTACTACATCCCGCTGTTCCTGATCTGCTACTCCTACTGGTTCATCATTGCTGTAAGTTGAGCTGAGCTGTGCGAGTCTAACTTTCACTATTATGTGTCTCTCTCTCTCTCTCTCTCTCTCCCTTTAGGCCGTCTCTGCTCACGAGAAAGCCATGCGCGAGCAGGCCAAGAAGATGAACGTCAAATCTCTTCGCTCGTCCGAGGATGCTGAGAAGAGCGCTGAGGGCAAACTGGCCAAGGTCGCTCTGGTCACCATCTCACTGTGGTTCATGGCGTGGACCCCATACCTGGTCATCAACTGCATGGGCCTGTTCAAGTTCGAGGGCCTAACACCACTGAACACCATTTGGGGCGCTTGCTTCGCCAAGTCGGCTGCCTGCTACAATCCAATTGTATACGGCATCAGGTATACACATAAATATATTGACCCTTAGGTCATGATCAATTAATTCTCACACCCATTGCTCCACAGTCATCCCAAGTACCGCTTGGCTCTGAAGGAGAAGTGCCCCTGCTGCGTCTTTGGCAAGGTGGATGATGGCAAGTCCAGTGATGCTCAGTCCACAGCGACAGCTAGCGAGGCTGAGTCCAAGGCATAAGAGACAACGACAATAACAATAACAACAACAACAACAACAATAACAACAACTTATTACAACAGCAACAAAACAACAACAACAACAGCATGAACAACTGCAGCAACAGAACGAAACGCTTTCGAATAACAATAATACTAATTTGTTACATAACAGCAATATGTTAACTAACATATGTGAAATTCAAACTTCTGCAATGTCAATAAAGACTAAAAAAATCTATAAAAAAAAATAAATGCAAACGAACTAGAAAAGTTACATAATTGTTTTAACTATATCATTCTCAGCATTCATTCTATGTTATTTTAACATTCGTAATCTGTAAAGTAACTACAACGATTTAACAGATGTGAATGACACATTAATTATAATCACATCAAGAACAAAAACATTATTTAGTTAGCTCAACACTTTCATTTATTTTTTCACAGTGTATTTCAGTTTATTATGTTTCTTTTTTAATTTTTAATATTATTTTTTTTTTTATTTTTTTTTTTTTATTTAAAGGCACTTAAGTTTCGTATTATAAATTAACATGCATAGTAGATAAAAGGCAAAAACAATGCACGCACTACACATAGATACAATTTATGTGTGTGTGTGAAAAATTCATTTTAAGGCGTTTAAAAAACTTCCAACTTAAGGCTAGGCATTTGCAACTGTTAGTAACAGCACGAAAAATATGACAACATTTACAATTAAACAGAATCAGTTAAAACAACAACAATTCTCCTCTCTCCCTGTCCCACTCTCACTCCTCTACTTGAAATCCAATTGGTTTCTGGGGCGGCTTAGTCATTCGCTGCAAGAAGCGTATTCGCTTTCGCTCTTCTTGAACTTGCCCTTGGCAAGGTTTATAATATCTTCATCAGTTGAATTTGTTGTGATGGTATTATTGTTGACCGGCTTGTCGTCCGTGTCGGATGGACTCTCCATGCACATCGAAGAGCAGGCGCGTTCCTGAATGATGAGTTTCCACAAGCGCACCTCGATGCCAACACTAAAAGAAATCAAATTGAATGGTTGTAATATTATAGCCGAATATACATAGTATACATGAGAAAGAAAATACTAACCGCAGACCCAGCCGCATTAAATCTAGTTTCTCCATGTTATAGATGAAGTCCTCAAACGTGAAACCTTCATTCAGTATGAGCGTCTTTGAGAATTCATCGATATGATGCTGCGCTAGCCATTGCTCCAATTGCTCGTCTATCTCGTGCAGACCAAAATTGTACTTGGTTAGCTGGCGGCGGGTGTTGGCATTTCGGATTGGACGCGGCGCAGAATTTCCCGCCCCGCTCGGACTCATTCTATGGCACTTCTTGTTGAAGCCGTTGAAGGTTCGTCTGCAAGACAAAGCGAAATAAAATCATTATAGATTTTAGTATGTCATATACGATCCTCGACTCACCTTAATCGCTTGCGTCCGCCCATATAGATACTGATGCTATGCAGAGCACGCAGACTCTGACGATTCTGCTCCATAATCTCTAAGTGATTCTGCTTTTGATTGTCGCGTATATCTCGGAGGATTCGCACACACTCCACTGAGCCGATTCCATCCAATTGATCAGAGCCGCTGCCATTGCCACCGACTTGCACCTTATCAAATGCATTTGGCTGCTTCTCTTGAACATCTGGAGTTGACTGTGGTCCTGCGTTATGCACGCTCTCATCGTCATTACCCGACAAATCCTTATCCGCCAAATTGGCGCCTAGTTCGGGTGAGAATATTGTGACAGCCGCCTGCACGGCGCGCTTAACTAGATTGTCCAACGCAAACATCCAATGCGGCTTGATGCAGTGCAGCCGCAGGGCCGACACAACCGCATCCTGAAATGAGTATAACGCCAAGTGCAGATGATCCAGTGCGACGGTATCATTATCCAACTTCTGCTTCAGTTCGTTGATGGTCGCTTCCAGATGCTTCTCGTTCTCGTTTGAAATATAATCCCGCAGACCGCGTATTAGCAGCACCAGATCGCTATTACGTATGGCTATAAAGTTTTGATCGGCATTGATCTTCTTCTCCCAAATCTCGCAGATCTTCGATTCATCCAGCATCAGTACCTTGGATAGCGTGGCACGCCGCTGCGAATCCTTTTTCAAACGATAAAACCCATCCGTTTCGCTCGTATCACTAATGCTGGTGCGTAGCGACGGCGTCTGTGGTTCGATGTCTGGCGACAGCAGATAGCCAGAGGAATTGCGACGTTCAATAATGAAATTCTGTGTACTACTTTCATTATCCACCGAGGCAGTGCCAAGCGGTGCGCTAAAAGATGTATCATACGAAAAGTAAATAAAAGGCATATTGAAGCACATTGCTAGTACTTACTCCAATTCGGGAGTGGTGGGAGTATTCGATGTGGTATGGTAGGTCAAAGGCGGATTTGATTTGTGCACCAAGCGATCCGCAGGCACAGAGATGCTGCGTCCGAACTCTGAGGTATTAATGGGCAAAGCAGGTCGCATCTTGCGCGGCTTACTGTAAGACAGAACAAACCACTGTTAATAACAGAGCAATGACAATGTTCAATTATGTATGGCTTATTTACTCTGTGAGAAAAGGATCGTTGAGCAGTTCCAGTGCAGAAGGCCTATCCTGAACGCTAATGGCAAAGCAGCGCAGTATGAAGTTCTTGGCATTTGTGGACATTTCCTCCGGTATGTTGGGATGCTTCTTATAGAAGCCCACCTTGAACATGGCTGCTTGTGGATTGCCCAGTTCGCTAAAGGGAGGGCTGCCCGTGGCCATCTCAACATTTGTGCAGCCAAAGGACCAGATATCTGCGGGCGGCCCATAGCCACGCACGCCCTGGTCGATGACTTCCGGTGCCATGTACTGTAGAGTGCCTGCAAATGTATCTGTCATGGGGTTGATGCGCGCCAGGCGCTTCGAAGTGCCAAAGTCGGAGATCTTGACCACGCCGCTGTACGTGTTCACAAGCACGTTGTCGCCCTTGATGTCGCGATGCACGATGTCCTGCTCGTGTAGATACTTGAGACCCTGCAGTATCTGCTTGGAGTAGAAGGCCATGGTGGACTCGTTATCCTTGAGCGGACCCCACTTGGTCTTTAGCAAATCAGATAGCGAACCACCGGGCACCTGCTCCATGAAGATCTTGAAGAAGCCATCCTCCGATCGCGACCCTAAATACTGTACAATATTGCGATGACGCAGCTGCGAATGCAGCTTGATCTCCTCGTGCAGCGGCTGCACATCCTGCGAGTTCTTCTCCGGCACCTCCTTAATGGCAATTCGGACTTGTGTCTGCTTATCCCGCGCCGCATACACCGTTCCATAGGTGCCCTTACCCAGCGTAATCTTGCGATTCTGCTCATTGTAATCGTACTCGTACTGAAAGTGTTTGATAAGTTAGCATACGGGATTTTCATTTCGCTTTGATTCAATAACGCTCACCTCGATTTGCGCCTCATCAGTCTCCAGATTCACAAATACCTCCTGGTCCGCAGTCATTTCTAATATACGATCGTAAAAGCGTTGCCGGCACTCGGTGGACGGAAAGTAGATTTGAAAATCGTCCGAATTGTGATGCACATAGAGATAAGCACACAGATCGTCCCGCTTGTACAGACTAACAGACTTGATTTTCGAAGCAACAAACAGAAAGTCGTGCAGCTTCTTGCAGGCATTCTTCGAGTGAGCCACGCATATGTTGACAATCTGTATGGATTTCTCGTCGGCATCCATGTTGATGGTCACATAACTGGGCATATAAATCTTGTTGGGTTCGAGTATCTGCAAAGGAATACAATTTTATTCAATGAGTGAATATTTAAATTGATCAACTGAGTACATACCAATATAGGAAAACGTATACTATTAATCTCATTGACGTTTATGGCCTCCAGGAAGAAATCCATCCAGAACTGAAAGGCCTGCTCCTCAATGGGCACCTGTCGATCGTCGGGCTTGCGTCGAAAGCGATGTATTAGCGATATGTTGCCAATAGTTGATTTGAGCGACCAAACAGGCGGCCTCAGCTTGAACATACACTCGGCTGCTTGGATGGCCTTGACGTAGTCCTCGGCAAGCACAGATATCTCAAAGAATGTGGCCACGTCCCAGTAGCCATTGAGCGTCGACAAGCTGCCCTTTTTGCCAATGAGATTATTCAGTGTCATGCCAATATGCTGCAGCTCGACCGTATTGCTAAATTCCTTGCCTTCGATCACGAGCAGTGTAGCCAAATTGATGCCTGCATATTCATTTGGCTGCACTTCGAAGCTCTGGCGATACCACTTGATGGCATTTTCGAGGCTCGTCTTATCCGTACAGTCCGACTCCACGAACATATCCTTGTAGATGCGTCCGCACAGGCACAACATGTCCGGAAAGTGATTCTCCTTCTTCTCGAGCGCTTTGAGTGATGATTCCAGTGCTTTCTCTCGATCTCCCGGTCGATTGCGTCGATTCAATGCGAACGCATACAAGAAACTCATATTTCCTGTCTCCACATATTTGCGCGTATTTGGTATGTTCTTCAAATCATTCACCAGACGCACCATTGCATCATAATCCTGCACATCCCGCAGGGAGCACATAAAACTGTGCAATACCTCGCCAGAGAGAACGTGGGGATCGTCCAGGCGTTTACGCATCTAAAAATAACGCCAAATCAATTGAGTAATCATGCCTCCAGACATGTATATGTAAACATAGGCATGTCCGTTGAACTTACCCCATGTAGAATGCTCTTTAGCTTATCGTCGCTGGGCGCGTAGGCATCACGCGCCGCTCGCATATCACTGAGAAATTTTTCCCGCATATGGGCCCTGCAGTGGGGAGAAAGAGTTCATGTAAATAAAAGGCCGGTATTGCAATGAAATGATGAGTGTGCTGCCAGTACGGACTTTGATTGTATTTCAACATCTTGCAACTTGCGCTTGAGCCGCGCCTGTAATGTGGTTGGCACACGCCCATCAGTAGGTTGCTCCTTGGTGCTGGCCTGGTTTGTCAGATTGCAGGTGTTGGTCTCAGCGTTACGCTTATAGCTGAGAAACAGGTAGTTGGCACAAGAGAGCTGTAAAGCAGAGTTAGGATATTAAAGAGCTGGACATATTTTTTTGGGCGCCACTGTGATGCAGGCGATGTGCTGCTGCGTAAAACATTATTTGCTTCTCAGCAGGCATTTTTTTTTAGACAGATATATATTTATGAACATCAGCGTTAGAAGTGCAAGTTTGCATCAAACAT